ACTATAAAGACCCACAAGCAATTTCCATGCTTCTATGAGACTAACCTATCTTTATTCTCCAAACTGAAAAAAATGCAGATTATAAACAAAAAGAAAAGCAGTGACAAATAAAGCAACAAAAATATTACTAAGAATCTATTATGCAACTATCATATAAAAACGTTTGTTGAGAACATGCACTTTTTGTTCTGTCTTTTAAAAAAAAAAACTATTTACATCATCCATAAATATTTAATTTTGATAAGGATTCAGGAGACAAATCAAAATAATTATTCTATTCACCAAAAGCTCCAGTCAAGCAATACATTTAGGCATGTGAGCAGTCCACTGAAATCACTGGATCTATTCATATATTTATGGGTACAATTATATTTAAGTGCTTTACCAGACTGGTGCTTATTAGCAGATGCCCTGGTTTAGTTAGAATTTCAACACATTTTCCCCTTATAGTCAGTAACCATTTCAGAGACAGCCACAGATACTAAGTCAAGATACTTCATGGCAGTTTTAGGTCTTAGGAGAAAGAAAAAAAAAAGTCTCTGCTTGGAATATGAAAAGTTAGTTAAATAAAATAATAATAATTTCAACATCCCATCTTCTGTAGGGCTAAGTACAGACAGTGAAGAAGCCTGAGGATGAATCAATTCAGTCTTTGCAGGTTAGTCTAAACTCCAGAGATTAAACTGAGAAGCAAGTGAACAGACATTCACTTTTGATTCAGTACATGAAGCCACATGGCTGCAGTGGTTCAGGCCGGAAGTCGGCGGGGGGGGCGCGGCAGCTAGCGCATGCCTCCCAGCCTGCCAGCCACTACCAAAGGGAAGGGACTGAAGCGCCAAGGCTCTCCCCAGTCCCCCATCTCAGCCCCAGTCCCTGCTTAAGCAGAGGGGGTGTGCAGCCCAGGGCAATCACACTGAAGAGTAGGGGTTTAAATCCCCTCCCTGGCTCTCACAGGTCCCCAGCCTGGGTCTGCCTAGGCAGGGGGGCGGTGCCTACCAGGCTTCCATTCCCTCTCCAGTTGGGGGAGGGGGAACCCCTGCTAGGCTGAGGCAGGGGTGGGTGGGGGAAAAGGTAGTGGCACTGGATTCATAAAAGCTTGAACAAGAAAAGTCCTTTCCCTGAAGCAAGCATGTATTGAATACAGCAATTTGCAACCTCAAGCTCACAAAGAACCACCAAAAATCTTTGCGCAAACTAAGATACAGCCCAGTAAAATACAGTGAGAACACACACAACTTCGCCCGACTTAAAATGGAATGTAATAAACCAAAAAGACAAGAGAAAACCTTGCCCAAGTCTTACGTAATCCTGGGGGCACTGTCTCCTTGCAGCCAGGTTATTCAGAAAGTCCTTTTTGAGGAATCAGCAGGTACTGGAGTGGAGATCCCACAGGCCTCATCTGTACTTAGGTTTTTACAGGCACGCTTGCACCCCTTTCTCCCCCATGGGTGCCTTG